CTGGGATTACAGGTGGGTGCCACCACACCCAGATAATCTCAGCTTTTCAAATGGTACTTATTTGTTTTCCTGGTACTGATCTATATTTAATTTTATTAGGAAATATTTGTAATATGAAACATGAAACAGATAAACAATTTATAAATTATAAAATGTAAACAAATATCTGAGAAACTTGCCTTATCACTTGAACAAAATTGATATAACTCAAATGATCCCTTCTTCACTGAGGCACTTCCCTGAAAATAGTATACTTTTCCACCCCAAGGGTTTCTGTCTGTTCCTATGACTTCTTTTGACCAATGGGTTAGCCAGCATCAGCCAAGCAAATGGGATATGAACTGGGGAGCTTGCTCTCCTGTGTCTCTCTAGTGTCCTGCAAACCTCACTGAGTAGTTTCTGTGCCTTCAGACTCAGTCCAGAATGCACAAGGTGAGATGGAGCTGCTCCAGCAGGCCCGCACTGCGGGACACAGAGCTGCCCACCTCTCACAGCTGGAAGTTGCTGACCTACAATCCATGAGCACTAGGAAAATAATTGTTCTTTTAAGCTACTACAGTTTCTAGCCATTTGAAACACAATAATAACATATTAATAGATATAATTACTTATATGTTAGAAACTGCCTATTTGTCCTTCTCCTATCCCTCTACTTAGCATCTAAAGAAGATGAATCAACCTGAAAAACTTGAATGTTGAATATTTTCTACAAATATCTTTATTGTTGATGCATAAATCCATATATTTAATGATTTGTATATATTTTGTGTTTGAATATGTTACTTTTATTTCATTAAAATACATTGTAATATATGTCATAATCTGAATCTTTTTCCTCAACATAGTATTTCATCTACATTATATATAGAGCATTTTATTCATTTCCATTGCCCTATGATATCCATGTGTGACTTCTTCATATTTAATTTATTCATGCTACAGTTATGTTATTTGGGTGATTTCCAAGGTTTGCTAATGCGAGCATTGCCTCAGTGAATATTATGTACATCTGGAGATACAGCCATGGAGAACATGTACAAAAGTTTCTCTTAGGCATCAGTTCTCAGACAAGCATCAGGATTCTTGACAGAAGTAGAATCAAGTGTTGAGGGTGGAGTGCACAAGAGAGACAGAGAGAGAGAGAAAATGAGAAGTGTTTTTTGAAGTTGGAGCTTAAATCTGAAAGTAGTTAGGAGGCAGGATTCTTTCTTGGGAGAAACTGTTGATTGGAGGAGCCCCGTTCACAGTAGAAAGTAATCTACTTCAAGTCTGCTGATTTAAATGTTAATCTTATTTAAGACGTAGTTTACCAAAGACATGTAGACTGATATTTGATCAAATTTCCAGGTACCATGACACAGATAGCCAAATTGACATATGAAATTAACTAACACAAGATCCCTTTAGGATGTTGAAAATTGTTAAGAATTTCCCCCCAATTTTTGTATATCTAATGATTTAAATATAGATAAAATGAAATAGAAAATTTAAATATATATTGGTTAATTAACTATAATAAACGTATAGCATGTTAGCATAAAATTTTTATGAAAATCTACATGATACATAAAACAAAAGAAAATTAATGGAAATAATGATATTGTTTTAGAATTTTATAAAATCTTTAGTACCTGGCTTCATAGTCAGGTGGAGAGAATTTTTCTTTTGTTTCCTTCTCATCCTAAGCAGAGATTTACTTATTATTTTTTAAGGACTGTTTTGACCTTTATTGATCTTTCATTAAACTTTTCTATAGTATTTTTTCTAACTTAAAATTTTATATTTAGTGCAAAAGTTTTTAGTCAATCTTTTAGAATAGGCTAACTTTCCTTTAAAATATATGTTTCAGTTTATATCATAGTTGTTATATGTTTTGTTTTCATTTAATTCAATTACCTTCTAACATATCTTCTTTGATGTGTAAATTACTTAAAAATTTTTAAAATTTGCACATATAGTTTTTAAAAGATATATAGCTTTGTTGTTCATTTATTACTTAATCAAACTGTAGGAAAATAGCAATAATTCTTCAATTTATAACATTTGATTTACTTAGTATATGTTCTTTTTAAAAATAAATGTTCTATGTATATGTGAGAACAATATGTTGTCTATAGTTATTTGTTAAAGGATTTTATAGATGGGCATTGAAATTTTTAATTTTTACTTTTCAAATCCCCCATATCTTTAAAGTAGAAAACTAAATTAAAAGTGGTGTCTAAAACTTTCAGTTTTGTAATAGAACAGGCATTTTTGTTTTTGTGTTTTTAACTTTATTGCTTTTTTGCCTGTTAAGGTACATTATATTTTATATAATATAGTTCAAGCTCTCTTTTATTACTATACAAGGACTTATTTTATCCACAACATACTTTTGCCTTATGGTGTCTCTTTGTCTAATATTAATATATCTATTCCACCTATACTTTTATTTCCTTTTGTCTGGGTATCTCTTTCAACTTTCAACTTTTGTAAGTCCTACAGAGTGTATTATACTCATACAAATGCTTATAGGTGAAATTTCCAATTATGTCTTTGGGAATTTTTACAGGGTCATTATTTAGTTGATATTTGTCTGTGAAATGGCAAAAGCCTAAATTGGAATGATTTAGGCTAAAAATTAGCAACTTGATCTATGTGCATACTGTCTTATTTAATTTAGGCTATCATAGCAAGATTCCAGAAACTGATTACTATAAACAACAGGACTTTATTTCCAGTGTTAGGAAGTCCAAGGTCAGGGTGCCAGCATGGCTTGTTCTGGGGAGGGCCCTCTTCTGCCCCTTGGAAGTGGCTAGCTTCCTACTGTGTTCCTCTTCTTAGGAGGACACTAATTCCTTTATGCCGTCCCCACACTCATAAGGCTAGATCTCCAAACACAGTCACATTGGGAATTAGGATTATGAATTTGGGGGATAAAGGACAGAAACGGTCAGTCTGTAATACCCACTGTTGCTGATTTTGACTATTTTGGCACCTTTTTTTTTTTGTGGAGCCTTGGAAACCTGCCTTTGTTTCACTTAGGGTTCCTCTTTTCCACTTGAGGACACTGTTGTGTTTCTCATTTCTTGAAGCCCTCAGAGATATCTTTCATTTTTTCATGAACCAAAAGCATGCAACTTTAAATATTTCAAATTATGCCTTTTAAAAGGCAAAATAATTTCAAAAGAATATTCAGAAATGTGTAATGTATCTTGGATGTAACATCGATTAAATAATAGTTTAGGAGACTTCTGAAGAAACAATACTACTTCATTCCAGGTGCAATTACTCCAGTTATACTTTTGTTTCTCCTAGAACATGGTTTAAGGAGACATATATAAAAGTTATATGAGAGGGTGTTTTAGCCACAGGCTGAAATATACCACAGTGATTATCACGTGAAAACGAAACTACTCTGTAATGACCTGCCAGCCCATCAGGAAGATATGTTTGAGAACAAAATGCACCTAAATAATTTTGTTTCTTTTTTTGGCTGTTTTAAAGACAGGTGTATTTTTTGAGAGTCAATATTAAAAACTAAAATTCTGGATAGCAAACATACGTACAAATAAGCAATTGATGCAAAGCAAAGAGCACTTTTCATTTTCTATTGGTGAAGGACTACCTGTCACACAGAAAATTTTCAACTATGCTAATTTAAAAAATAAAATAAATAGCCTTTTCTAACTTTAATGAGAATATCTTCACTCTATAATCATCATCTCTGCAGCACCTTCAAGCTTCCCCTCTCAATGGTAGCAAATTCTGTGGTGCCAGTACAAATTTCATTTACCTCTTAGCATAAAAATAACCAAATCTGCTAACAAGCAAAGAAAACACTTTCCTGACCCTGCCATTTCTTGGTATCTTAGGGATACCAATTATTTTTCCTTGTCCATTTATAGGATGACTTCATTCATGCCTTCACCCATTTATATACTTACTCATTCGGAAGTATTTACTGAGCACCTCATGTGGCCAATCATAATGCTTGATTCGGTACAAATAGAAAATAACATGTTTCTCCATCCTAAAACTCAGATGGAGGAGGGAGACAAATAAACGGTTCATTACTATTCAGTGGGAGAAAGTTGCTAGAGGAACACATAGAAATAGGACAGAATGCAGGAGGATGTAAAGAGTATGATAAAAGTGAATTTTCTTGCAACTGATATTTACTCCCACAAAGCAAAAAGCAAACAAAACATAGATGTTTTTAATCACTGATATCCAGCTATTTTTCAAACTAGCTTTTATGTCCATTATTAGAAATCCAGTGCCTTTTAAAACATCTTTTAATGACCTAAATGGAAAATCTAATGATTCATCCTCAACCAACCTGCACTTGAAAACTCTTTCATGTAAAATGATCTAGTGCAAAGCCATTGCATTCTGGATTCTCTTCTTTTTTCATCAACCAAGCTCCACCCTGGAGCATTTAGTTACTCCAAGCATAGGTAAGCAATGCTGACTTCCTGGTTCATATTGTGTGGGTTTTTTCTTTCCTTTTTTTTTTTTTTTTTTTGTTGAAGGGATGGTTGAGACAGGGTTTCACCATGTAGCTCAGGCTGGCTTTGAACTCATTACATATCCCAGGCTAGGATTATAGGCATGTGCCACCATGCCTGTTTCATATTGTGCTTTTGAAATTGTCTTACCCCATGTCTAAATTGTCCTCATTCTCAGCTCACATCATCTACACAGACTAAAAACATGACCTTGAACCCAGCACACTCTAATAAAAACAAATTTGGTGAATTGGGAATAATCTAGAATAATTAATGGAAAAACATTAGCAACTTTTCCTCATCAGCTCAAATTACTAAACAATCCAGGTAAGTGATGGTGTAGACGCAATAAAATCATAAGGTTAATCCTTTGTTTATGCCACTACAAGTAAAAATAAATCAGATACACAAATACACCTACACATTTTACTCAGATTGTGGCCATTCATGAAAATTAACTAATTATTAATACATTTAAAGCAGATTATCTTTTTATGTTCTTACAAACAGTGGTGACAAGTTGGCAACCTCAAGTGGTGACACTTCAGTTAAATTATGGGACCTATCTACAGGCAAATGCGTTTTGACCTTTGAAGGACATACCCACACAGTTTGGTCATGCACGTGGCATTCCTGTGGTGACTTTGTGGCTTCTGCCTCACTGGACACAACTAGTAAAATCTGGGATGTTAATAGGTAAGAAGTACTTTAAACATTATATATCTATATCTATATAGTAAAGTTACTTTCTTTCTCCTTGATGCTACCACTATGAAACATTAAAAGAAACTTTTAATTGATAAGACTTAAATAATCTTAGTGAAATCCATTTCCAACTCCATTAATCTTTGTTGATATAATAATTTCTTTCTAAATGTAGATAGTAGGATCAAGCCTGCAAAGTAAGATTAGAATTGCTTCATTGAGAAACTGTTTTAAACAGGGTACTGACCAGCACTTCTTTAAACAGTTGGAGTTTTAGTTCTAGGCTTGTTGTCACAGTACTATCCAGATTAGTCTAATAGACATGAATATGATAGAAATATTTATGTAATTTACACCTCATTTTGATGCATTGTAGTGTTTTCCCTAATTAAATGCTTCTTAGCAATTCACAAGTTTTAAGAAATAATGCAGTATATTGTGTGCGAAGTCCTATACACTATAATGTGAATTATAAGTTTTTTGTTTTAATCTTAACTCTAGAGACAAATACATTATGTTTACAGTGTCAAAACTTCTGTCACACATGTATTTTTGATTATTTATTACATTGTTAGCTATGCAGGTATAATACCAAAAAAAAGGTAAGTTAGGTACTACCTGGTATCCTAATTGTTTTAGCTGAGAAATTATAAATTGTCTGTCAAACTTCTGATCACTTTCATCATTGAAATGATGCCCAGGACACAAAATAAGAATAGTGACTCTTTAAAATTTAGGCAAACAATTGTTACATATCCAGTGTAATTTATTTTTGTAAGAGAAAGGTGGAGGTACTTTAAGAAAAAGGACTGTTAATTTAGGGTCATGTGTACTGTAGGTGCCTTGAACAACCTGTCTCCATTCTTCCTTGAGTCATGAGTGACACAGAGAATGGAGGGAAAGCAAGTAGGTACTTACAAAATTGATATTTTTTTTCTGGTAGGATTCCACGTTTAATTCTATGCATAAATGGATTATTGTTTAAAGCCATGTGACAAGTTTTAAGCTCTTTTCTCTCAACAACAAACTCGTCTTTCTTTACTCTGCTGTTGTGATGCTGAAGCTGGGTTCTGCAAACCACACTGTTCCCTTTGCTTTGTCTGCTGACCAGCAGGCTTTGCCTATATGAGGGGTATGCAGGAGACTATAAACCTGGAGCTGAACAAAGCGACTTAATGCTTCCTATCTTCTCCCTAAGGGGTTTTGGTGGCCTTGCATTCTACTGAGCCTCATCCCATTTCTTCTTCTCATCAGCAAAAGAAGTTTGTTTGCATCACAGCAGGTGAATCTAGGTGGCAGGTTTTTTTCCAAAACCATGGCATCATCAGGAACAGTAGCCTCAGCAAGCAGGTGGCCCTTTCAGTTGGCTTTGTTTCCATCTCTGCAAGATGAAATTGAGCAGAGAAGCACCATTACCAACAGACAAATCTTCCTCTTCAGAGGGCTGAGTTTAAGTTTCAAAAGCCTCCTCTTCAAGGTTTTTCTGGTTTTTAAAAAAAAATGTTTTTCAGTACTGGTAGTTGAACTCAGAGCTTCACGCATGCTAGGCAAGTGCTCTACCAATTAGCCATACCCCACCCTCAAGGTTGTGAGTCTTAACAATTCCACCCTATTCCTTTTATTTACTCAGTCCTTGGGTCAGTAGCTCTTTCCTAAAGTTGCTTTTGCCATATAACCTTAGTGTTCTTTCTTCCTCTTTTCAGTTATTCAGTATACATAATTAACAATCCTGTTATATAGATTCATTGTTTACTGCCCTGTCTTTTAAATTCTTGCTGTTAAAATGAGGTCCTAATATGAACTTCCACAGATCCAAACATGGGAGTATAAATAGCATCTTGCATCTGAGTTATAAACTACAGCTAAATAAAGGTTTCTCTTATATGAAGAAATCCAAAATATAAACAAAGAGCAAAAGAGAAGATAGATAATAGGAAACATGGAGAGAGATCTTGTGCAAAAGGGAAAGGGAACAAGAAATAGAGGTGGGGGAGGGAGAGAAAGGGAAGGAGTTGAACAAAAGAATTAATATGTGTTATATACATGTACTAACTCCTCATGAGTAATGTAATCATCACTTACTGCCAACATGTACTAATAACAAATAAAAATTGAAGAAAAAAACTATACTTTAGCTAAAAATATTTAGCATACTCTGAATGAAAAGCATGGCACAGCATGATACATTTTGACCTAATTCTATGTAAAATAGTAACAATTTGAGGTATGTTTTAATTTTCAGATGGATAACATTTTATCTAGAATAATTAATCATATATATTTCTTAATTCTATTAATCTTCTTTATTATGTGACCTGATTTCATAAATATGTATTATAGTAAGCTACTGGAATTTTAACACTAATAGTTAATTTTAATTTTTATCACCTTTGATTTAAATGAAGATCCTTATAGAAGAATGTAGTCCATTCTAAAATTTTTCTTCAAATCTCTTAATTATTCAGAATGTTTATATAAAACTGTGGTTAAAAAACTGATTCTCAGTACACACTGCTCATCTTAGAATGATTTCAAACACTTTGACTTGTAAGCTTTTCCCATGACCCTGTTATCCAAATATGGTTTTCCTATTTTTACCCAGTAGATACTGACATAAGAGATTAAAATCAGTTAAAATTGCTCCTGACTGGTACCAAAATTCTTTAAATACAAAATTTCTCATCAGCATCAAGAGATAAGATGTTCATCATAAATGACAAAAAACTGTACTAATTTTGAAGCTGAAGAAGTGGACAAATATTGACAAGTAAGGGAGAAATTGAATGTTTCTGTAAGGGCTATTGATATATCATTCAGAGCTATAATAAAAAAACACCTTCCAATTCATAATTACTCACAGATCAATATGGTGTAGATATGTCTAAAACTAGTATCTGGCTTTAAAATTTCACAGGTTAATAGAACTGACTTAATGATGGAAGGCAAGAGGTTATTTACCTTGGTAGGATGGGTGTAGAAGCTGTGTTTTCCTGGATGATATAAACTTATTTTAATGCTCCATACTTCTTGATGAAGAAAGAATTTATATTTGCGCATGCTATTGTTCACAAGAGAATGAAGAGGTTAGAATATATTCTCCTCTGTTACCATCGACCCTTCCCTTTGAGCTCCTGGCTCAGTTTTGAGTATGCTTTAATTGGTAGCATATCACCAGCTATTTGGTGATTGTTCCTGGATTGGATGTGCCTTGGCAAGACTATCCATTTAGCTCCTCACTGACAAGATGGGGCACTGTGAAACATAATCCAGATTAAGACTCTAGATAAAGATTCAGGTTTACTAAATGTTAATAAGAATCCATGCACAGTATCTATGACAATCTTTTTTTTGGTACTGGAGATTGAACTCGGGTCCTTGAGCTTGCGCAGCAGGTGGCGAAACCACTGAGCAAAATCCCCTGCCCTATGACATTCTTAATCTAAATGAATTCACACTCTGTAAAGATTCTATGAGTATTAGCAGTATTTGATGATCTTCTGAATGTTCATATATATGAAGCAGAAATATATATACATTTATTAGTGTTCATTGATTTCTCTCTCTTTTCAATTTTCAAATATATTCTTTAAAAATCAGTATTATAGGATGTGTGCATACTTGGACACACGCACACACACGACTCAATTATTGTATTCTGAGCAGAGTGCATGGCAAGTGGTGGTTCACGTGCACACACGAATAGAGTGAATCAACAAATATATATGAAGATAGTTTTTTTTTTAAACTGTTTCCCTTGGCTACTCCATGTTCAAAATGTAGTATAATTATGCTGTCTTATCCTTTATGAATCTAGACAATGATGCAAACCAGACAGAAAAACTAGAAAAAATCTCAGTCAGCTGTAAATACTAATTTGTATTTCTTAATACACATTTATACATGACATTAATCAATAAGTATTCATAAGATAACAGTATTGGGCTATATTTTTTTCTTAAATTCTTTTATTGGTACATTGTAGGTATACAACACATTTACATTTCTCATTGGGAACTTGTACCTTTACATGATGCATCTTGGTTCTTACATATTCCCCATTCCTAGCCCTCCCTTCATGCCCTCCACCATTCCCTATTTACAAAGACTTTATTTCCATTTTTTTCCATTTCTCATCATTTTTCCTTTCCTTCTTTCCTTTCCCCTGCCCTGCCCACTACCCCTACCTCTTTGGACCTTTTCTTCCTATTTTGATTTATCGAATATTCATTCTAATCATTGGTACATTTTAGGTATACAATATAATGACATTCATCATTGGAAAT